AGCAACCATGTCCTGTGAGCATCTGCGTCAGGAAATAATCCAAACGCCGGTGCCCGCAATCATCCATCTTCTCAGATTAGGAAACAAAGACTTTGTCCACTGCGCCACCCTTCTCATTTCATCCCATTCCTCTTGCCACACCATTATGGACCTCTCCCTTTCTTCTTTTTTTAAACGTTCTGTTGCTAAGTCTTCATTTCTTCTCTCGTATATTCTTCCTCTTTCCTTCACTAGCATGTGCATGGGAATACACTCGGTGATAACTCCCAACGCCTCGGCAGAGACTGTTCTGTATGCACACGCCACCCTCAATAGACTCTTCTTATCTGCTCGGGTGAGCTGCTTACGTTTTTGGTAAAACTGCAGTACTCCAAACAGGCGCAGCGTATCTCACCGCAGCTCTTTGAGTCACCGCCTTTACGTGTTCCCACTTCTTTCCGTTTTGACTCAGAGTCACCCCTAAATACCTCACGCATTTCCTTGGAATCACTCTCTTTCCTGCACATTCGAATGTTATCCCATCCCTTTTTCTTGGTCCCTTCAGAACTATAGCCTCGGTCTTACCCGCAGCCAGTTCTAGCTCAATACCTCTTAGGTATTGAGTTACGTAAAGCGTTCATTACCTCTTTCCATTTTAGTGTCCGCGTAACTCCCGGAAGACTTCCATCACCGCATCCACCGTGCTCCTGTTCTTTCCGAAACCCTACTGCCTGGCTGACTCTTCAATCACTGTATCTATTCACCCTCTTAGAAGCCTCTCGTATAATTTACCTATCCACGACAGAAGGCAAACAGATTGATATTTGTCTTCCCCCTTTGGGAGTAGCACGAGCCTCGAGATCTTCCAATTTGCCGGAAATCGCTGAGTTTCAAGCAGTACATTGATATGTTCTCGGCAGCTCAGCTAGTTTATAAAAAACTGACAAATGTGTGATAAATAGAAATGAGAAAATAATTATTTTAATTTTATCTTGCCAATGGCCTATTATATGATTTCATATACTGACTTTTTAGTTTAATATGTTTAATGTTTTAGGAAAACTTCTTGTTAAAGTACCAGAAGCCATAAAAAAATGTGCAGGTTTCTCAGCAGTACATGACATTCAGCTAAGTCAATTTCCTCGGACTTCATTCAACACCATAATATCTCCCACTCCTATCTGCACGTTTAACTGGTCATCTTCACTACCTTTTAAGAGACTTCACTCTGTTGAAAGTAGAATAGAACGAGATGGAAAAGCCCAAGTGGTTTTTATGTGGTGGGATCTCCAAATGGACTGTGAGGAGAGGATTTTATTAAGTTGCGCACCTGTCTGGGCACATCCTGAGGGTAAGATGAAGTCTGTCGAGGAGATACCTTGGAGAGATCATTGGATGCAAGGTGTATATTACTTGCCACAAGAAATAGACGTGAAGAAAGACGAAAACTATATAGTGCACTGTGGTGTTGATGAATATTCTTTGTGTTTTAAAATGGAAAGTGTTAAGAGTAGTGTTATTACAAGTACGCTAGAGCCTCCTGTTTGTAATTGTGGATTACATATTAGCTTTTCAAGAACTCGAATAGGACAAATGAATGATTCTAGGAGGATAAAAAAATATTTAGCACTTTTTGAAGAACATTTAGACAAGGATAGTTCCGTTCTAGTTTTAGGAGATAGTTTTTACTCTGCCCTGGCTGCTGCTAAGTTAGGAGTGAAAAAAATGTACTTTTTAGAGTCAAATAAAATATCCAGAGGTATATTATTAGATTATATCAATGCAAATGACATTGAAAATGTAAAAATAATAGAATCATTAGACGAATTGAAAACAACAGATTTAAGTTATGTAAATGTAGTACTAGCAGAACCGTATTTCACTAGCAGCATTCTACCATGGGATAATCTAAGAGTTTTGTATTTATTTAGGCAGATAAGAGATCAGTTATCCCGTGACGTTCTTATATTTCCAAAAAGGGCGGTGATCAAAGCAGTTCCAGTACATTTTAAGGACTTGTATAAGATTCGAAGTCCTTTGGATACTTGTGAAGGATTTAAAATGGATGCATTTGATAAATTAATTGAGGTTTGTAGATTTTTATATTTATCCATATATCGTAAATTTTGTAGCTTACTGCATTAAAAAACAAAAAAGTAATCCTTGTGTTTCCAAATAATAAAGTACACTGTATCAATAAATGTTACAAAAAGCTCTTTTAAATTAATTACTATTTAACTGGGAATAAGCCACAATTAAAGGTTAAAATACGTTTATGGACGTTTCAATTTCCACGGAAATCGTTCTCAAGTAAATTAAACAAATTTTGTTTTTTGTTAGATAGTGATAAATTCTTCTAATAATTTAATTTTATCTGACTCATTTATATGACAATTCAGACATACATTATGCATTTTAAAGTAGACGACTTTAAAATGATATTGCCAATATTGTTGAGTTGCGCTTCTGGGACGACTTTACTTATAAGATAGTTCATTCGATTACATGAAATCAACTTTAACTTGAGAATATCCGTCAGAAAAAATCATAGCATGTAATTCGTCTTTAAAAAGACAAACACATGATATGATGACAGTAAAATTCTCCTGTTAGTGATTTCATAGTAAATTATGAGGAAAAAACCAGGAAAAAAACCTCATAATACTATCCCGACATTGTAAGTATTTGTTCGTGAATTTAGTTTACCTTCAACAAACATCAAATTCTGTTTTTATATGTACGTTATTTAAAAAACATAAATGATGTATCCTCTATATGTTACTGACTTACTAATACTGGTATTTTCTTATTAATAACTTCCTCTTTCAATATTGGTAAGCAGATCCTACTACATTCTGCCGAGGAATTTGCGACACAAATTGGCCTCATTTAGCATAATTAGAGCCGCTTCTTTGATTTTTCTTTTTTTACCATCCGTTTCTTTTAGGACTACATTTGAATTATTCCATTGAACCCTATGTTGATTATCCCATGCTTGTTTACATATTTGAGATCTATCAAATTGTCTATTTTTAATATAAGATTGATGTTAATGGAGTAATTCAGTTAAGTTGATTTCATGTAATCGAATGAACTATCTTATTTATAAGTAAAGTCGTCCCAAGAGCGCAACTCAACAATATTGGCAATATCATTTTAAAGTCGTCTACTTTAAAATGCATAATGTATGTCTGAATTGTCAATATAAATGAGTCAGATAAAATTAAATTATTAGAAGAATTTTTCACTGTTTAACAAAAAACAAAATTTGTTTAATTTACTGTTTGTATTTTGAGAACGATTTCCGAAGTGGAATTTGAAACGTCAATAAACGTATTTTTATCTTTAATTGTGGCTTATTCCTAGTTAAATAGTAATTAATTTACAATGCCACAAGAAAATAGCTTCAGAACAATATTAACTCTATTAAATTTGCAATAACCTAACATTACTTTACACAGTTCTATATATTCTGTATTTTCAGCGGTCAAGTAAGGTAGATGATATTGTGGAAGCTCAACCTCTTTGGGAGTATCCTGGGGTAGCGCTAAGTGAAGTACAAGAACTTTTATTAATTAGTCTCATTGACACCACCGAAAAAGCTGAATGCAATGGATCATTTAATATCAAAAGGTAAATTAGTATTTATAATATTTAAAAAATTATAAAATATAACATAACCTAGCTTCTAAGCACAAAGGTCTGTAAATACGTCTTTAAAACACGTAAATCTTTTTTGTTACATTTCCAGCATTCCGAAAGAATTTGTCGCTAGATTATAAATAAACTGTTTTTTTCACGAACAGATAGTTTTGAAGATCTATATTTTCTTGCCACTGTTTTACACAGTTTTATTTTCTTCTTTAGGTTTCCTTGTGTCTCGTTTGACCACCACCAGATCCCTTTATTCTCAAAATTCTTTCCAGAGATTTTTTTCCAAGTATTTCAATAGCAGTACCTCTAATAATACAAGTCAAATTCCTCTAATTGTATTAGGGATTTCCTTTCGTGTTTGAACACATTTTTTCGACTACTTTTACCCTGAATAGAACCTCTTTCTCATCTTTTAACATTCACAACGTAATTTTTGTATTTCCCTCAGATAGTTTGTTTTAATTTCGTTGTTTACTTCGAGAAGTTGACTTCTTCTCTTTTTAAAGAATGCTCATATCATCTTCAGTTTCATTTCTAATTTGAAAGCATAGTCCTCCATGTTTTACTCCATTTTTACTTCATTTCAAATAGATAATACAATTTTATATAATTAAGGAGATATAAATCAAAATCATGGTGTCGTTGTATACATAAAAAAGAATTTAAGATTTACGTGGAAGATTGTAAACATTAATGTATGTAAGGTATTAGAGATAACTATATTAGGTAAATTCGAATTCAAAACGAACTAACAGATGCAATACGATACAATCCATGTGAGAACGGACTTACGACAGGGAGATTTCCTATCCTGTATTCTATTCAACATCACATTAGAGAAAATAATTAGGAGGCTAAAGTCAACACCAGAGGAACAATAATAACAAAAAGTGTACAAATATGGGCATTTGCAGATGATGTTGATATTATAGCTAGAAGCGAAAGATAGAAGCATTTAATGCGATAGAAAGAGCGGCACAAAACAGTGGCCTAAACATTAACGAAATAAAAACCAAATACATGAAGGTCAGTAAATTGACAGGCCAAAAAACCTACAGAATCTGACAATAGGAGACTATAACATCGAAAGCGTGAAAAAGTTTTCATATCTAGGATCACTATTTACCAGATAACAATGTCAGTGAAGAAGTTAAGAGAAGAATACATATTACTAATAAAACATATAATGGACTGCTTAAACATCTAAGATCTAACAACATTACAAGAAAAACCAAATGCAAAATGTACAAGACCCTGATAAAACCGGTCCTTGTATATGGATCAGAGACATGGACACTGTCGAAAAGCGATGAGAACCTATTAGGTACATTTGAACAAAAAATCTTTAGACACATATATAAGGGTGTAAAGGAAAATGACGACATATGGCGCAGAAGATATAACTTTGAACTATACACAGCATACAATGAACCCGAGATCATAACATCCATAAAGATCTGACGTCTGCGCTGGATGGGCCATGTTGAATGGATGTTGGAGACTGAAACTCCAAAACAGATAATGAGGCAAACACCAGTAGGGAGAAGGTAAAAGGGAAGACCCCAAACTTAGATACATGGAACAAGTGGAACAAGATTCTGAAAACACTTAAGATTACCAACTGAAAAACAAAGCAAGGAACAGAACAGAATGGCGGAAAATCCTAGAATAAGCCAGGCTCCAGAAAGGGTTGTCGAGCTACTGATGATGATGATATTAGGTAAATACAGTGCGTTAAGTTTTGGATTAGGTATACACTCTATAAATGGCAACACTGCGCGTCTTCGACTTGCACTACATATCTGCTTCGTTGACTCGTCGTTGCACGTCGCCGGTCGGCAAATTTGTCATATTGTCATTATACCGTGGTTTGTTTAAGGTATAACAGCGTAGAGTTTTAATTTATTTTTGTAAACATGTCTGTTTATATGGCCGCGGAAAAAGCTCAAATAATAAAATGGTTTTTACAGTGGCAATTCTGCGCAACAGTGTGTAGATTTATTTTCTGTGTTTTTTGAGGGAAGACCAATTCCTTGTGTACAGTCAATTTATAATATTGTTAAAAATTTGAGAGTTGTTATTGCCTCAAAAATTGCAGATAATGTCACGCTCGAGAAGTGTTACCAGAAAAAGTTGAGAAAAGAGAATACCGGGATACACAAATTTGTGCAACAATCGAGGTAGATTCAACACGTTCAAGTAGAAGCGTTGCTAGAGAGTTAGATGTTAGCAATGTTACTGTAACGAAAGTATGGAAAAAGCACGGTTACAAGAATTTTAAATATTCGAAAACGCAGCAGCTTTATCCAGACGATTACTTTCGAAGATGAGTTTTGTGAAACTCTAATAACGAAGGCTAAAGTGAACAAATTTTATTAAAATCATGTTATTCACTGATGAATCTTCTGTTTCGTTAGTAGGGAACACACTCCTTCCATTACGAGGTATTGGGCGCGGGAAAACCAGCACAGAAGTGTTGTTTACCGAACTCAACGTCCTCAAAAAGTTAACGTCTGGACTGGCATTTTAGGAGACCTTATAATAGGTCCATTTTTTATTGAGGGCAACTTGAATAGTAGAGTATACCTCGATTTGTTACAGAATCATGTTCTTCCCGCTATTCTCAATCTTCCTGATGTAAATCTGGAGAATGTTTGGTTTCATCAAGATAGCTGTTCAGTTCACAACGCTCGAATTATTAGGAAGTATTTAAACAATACTTTCCCGAATCGAGTTATCAGTGGAACAGGCGATATTAAGTGGCCTGTGCGATCTCCAGATCTTACACCCATGGACTTCTTTTTTTGGGGACATTTAAAAAAGCATTATCTACGCTCATCCTGAGGCTAGAGCCCAAAATTGGATGAATTAAAAAATCGAATAAGAGAAGTCTCCAATTCTGTTACAGCAGAAACTCTTTCATCTGTTCGCAGAAGTTTTTATGACAGATTGGGGTACTGTTCAGCCGTAGAAGGTCAACTATTTGAACCATTTCTGTAGGTCATAAAGAATTATTTTTTATTTTATTAGGAATATTTTAATTTTCAATAAGAGTATATTTTTTATTTTATCTTTTTAAAGAAATACGCTTTTATTTTTAATTCAACCACAAAAAAATTTGCACATTAATAAAAATCGATAACAATGCACCGATTAGTTCAGTGCATTTTTATCGAATTTCCTATTATTTAAATCGGCTTTACGTAATGAAACATGAGATCGGACGACAGAGAAGTACATCCCTAACGTTGTTGTGAGTTACTAAACTAAAATAAATGATTTTCTGTCGGTGTAGATTTTCGGGTCGGAGAACGAACATTTGCAACGTTGCCGATTTTAGCGCTCCGTATAGTGTGCAATACCTAATCAAAAACTTAACGCACTGTATAATCAAAATACAATAATAACACTAATTTACAGACCACCATCGACAGATGAAGAGCATTTTTGTATTGGTCTAGATAAATATTCAGAAATCACTAAAAATTCTGTTTGTAAATATCATGTTGTATTGGGTGATATTAATATTAATATCAAAAATATGGCACCAGATTCTTCTGAGTAACTAAGTATATTGGGTGAACATAATTTTTTTATCAATAATAAATAAAAATACTAGAATCAGAGCAATTCTCGTAGTTATATTGACCACATTGATGTAAATGTGACTGTTTTGTAATTTACGAAACAGTCATCAGACCAATAATGACATACGCGGCAGAATTAAGACCTGATACAGAGAGGACAAAAAGGATGTTAGAAACAGCAGAGATGAAAACATTTAGAAAAATTTATGGTACGAGACAATATGGGACAGAGCTAGAAGTACAGATCTACGACGTAGATGCAAGGTGGAGAATATCAAGAACTGGGTAAGAAATAGAATGGAACGATAATATAAGCCGAATAACAACAAATAGAGTAGTAAAGACGGCAAGAGACGGTTCCCCAATAGGAAGACGATCAGTAGGAAGACCAGGAAAACGGTGGAACAACAACTTACTGGAGGCACATTGAAAAACAGATAGAGTCATGTCTATGTAAAAAGAAGAAGAAGAAGACATTGATGTAAAAAGTAAGTTTTGTATCAATCATAATGCTTTATCAGCTGTTCTGGATCTCCCCGTGACTGATCATAAAGCAACATTTGTAAGTTTTTCTTTTAAAAAATAAAATTGAATGCAAAACTAAATTTAGGAAAAATGAATTATGATGATTTAAAAACAGATTTTAGTTTTCAAACCAATTTGGATTTAAGAAGGAATATTCCACTTCAGATGCTATAACGTCAGCTACTGATTATTTATATAAGATGCTGGAGAATGGCTCTCCTTCTTCTTCACGTGCCATCTCCTCTAAGAAGGTTGGCAAGCATCATGGCAATTCGAGCTTTCGACGCCGCTGCTCTAAAGAGGTCAGCAGAAGTGCAGTTAAACCAAGCTCTCAAAATATTCAACCAGGAGATGCGTCTTCTTCCGCAACTCCTTCTACCCTGTATTCTTTCATTAATTGCAACAAGTTATAACGCTCGCCCTTCATAACATGTCCCAGATATTGCAGTTTTCTGACTTTAACTGTATTTAAGAGCTCTTTATCTTTTCCCATTCTTCTCAACAGCTCGACATTCGTGACTCTATTTACCCAACTTATTCTTAATATCCTTCTGTAGGCCTATAACTCCAAGGCTTCCAATCTATCCGAAACATCTTTCTTTAAAGTCCAAGCCTCCAACCCATAAAATAATACGGAGAACACGTAGCATCTCAGAAGTCTTATCTTTAAAGAAATTGAAATGTCCCTGCTGCAGAGTAATTTTTTCAGTTTGTTGAAAGAATTTCTTGCCTGTCCTATTCTTGCCTTAATCTCTTCTGTATACTCATTATATTGACTATTGTACCCAGATATTTATATTTTTCAACTTTTTTAATTTGTTCTCCATGCATTGTTATGTTTTCTTGGCGCTGTTGGGCTTTTGTAATTACCATAAATTGTGTCTTTTTTGTGTTTAGGGACTTCACGTTTTCTTTACTGACTTCTATTACTCTGTCAACCATTTTGTTGTAAATCCTCAAGACATTCCGCTAATAAAATAGTGTCGTCGGCAAACCGTATATTATTGATTGGTCGGCCATTTACTTTTATTCCCATAGTTAGTTCTTCTAGTGTTTCCTGGATTATTTCCTGAATACAAATTAAACAAAGTAGGAGACTAATGATCCTGATGTCTCTCATATCTAAGTTTTTCTTTTCAAGTAATTCGATAAGACGGTAATGTCTGACCTTATCGAAGGCTTTGTTGTAATCCAAGAAACACATATATACTGGCTGATTAACATCCATGCACCTTTGCATAAGTACATTTACAGCGAACAGGGCTTCCCTCGCTCCCAGTGCATTTCTAAATCCAAATTTTGTGTCACTTATGTCCTGCTCAAGTTTGTTGTGTGTTCTCCGGTGTATAATTTTTAAAAATATTTTGAGCGTATGACTCATTAAACTTATTATCCGGTGGTCTTGGAATTCTTACTAACTACTTAATGGCTCTCCTACTTTAGCGATATTTTTGGATCTAGCTGAGGAATTTGACACTGTTAGTCATCAGCAGTTGTTAAGTGCTGATTAACTTACTTACTATTTCAAAGTTATTAAAAAAAAAGATCGCAAATTGGCAAGATTAATAAAGCAATTGCTGACAAAATCATTGAGTATGGTGTGTCTCAAGGTACTGTTTTAGATCCTTTACTGTTTTCAATGTGTATAAATGATCTAGCAGCAATGAAAAAGACCAAAAAAGAGACCTTACCAAAAGACTGGCTGTGGCTACTATCAATATTCGTTTCACTTTCTAAAAATATCCAACGCTAGAAAATGTGAAGAACGTAGATTAATTAGTTTGATGAGCTATGTACTCATTCCTTACTATCATTCACTCGCGCATATACACCAAATTAGAAGAACACCTGAGTGAAGTTCAATTTGAATTTAGAGCAGGACTGGGAACGAGAGAAGCACTTTTTAGTTTGCAAGTTCTAATACAGAGAGCTAGGGATGTCAGCTGCGATGTGTATGCTTGTTTCATTGATTTCGAGAAGGCATTTGATAAAGTCCCACATGGAAAACTAATCGAGATCCTAAAAATATCAGGACTCGATGGTAAGGATGGTAAGAAAAACTGATCTCAAAGTTATATCTCCAACAAAAAGCAACAGTACGGGTTAGAAAATTAACTGTCCGAGAACACAGTCGAAAAAGGAGTTAGACAGAGTTGCATATTGTCACCGGCATTATTTAACATATACTCTGAAAACATCTTGAGAGAGGCTTTACACGAATCAGAAGATGGGATTGCTGTAAATGGCCAACTTATTCTATATCTAACAACATTAGATATGCAGACGATACAGTGTTACTGGTCGATAGTGCGCAGGGGCTTGAAAGGATGATGGATAATATTGTAGAAGCATGTAACAAATACGGCCTAAAAGAAGACAAAAATAATGATCATTAGTAAGAACACCGCCATAAACGTGCAAATTACAATTACGGTACACCGTTAGAAAGAGTGGAAAAAATATGCTATTTGGGCTACAATTTTAAGGATACTTGGGATCACAGCTACAAAATAAAAACTCGTATTGAAAAAGCCGGAAGCTCTTTCAACAGCCTTAGTAAGATTCTCTGCAACTTATCTTTAAGTATCAATATACGCATAAGAATTCTTAGATGTTTCGTCTTTAGTGCCCTCCTCTAAGGAGTAGAAAGCTGGAGCCTGACAGAATATGCCATAATGGAGGCATTTGAAATGTGGTGCTACAGAGGTATGTTGAGGGTCTCATATATACACCCCACAAGTAACACACCTATTCTCCAGAGGCTAAGAAAAGAAAGAAATTATTAACACCATAAAAAAGAGAAAATTGGGTTACTTTAGCCACATCATGCGTAGTGATAAATACCGACTTCTACAGTTGATTCTACAAGGTAAGATTGGGGGTAAGAGAGGGCCTGGACGTAGACTTATATCCTGTCTGGCCAATCTTAGGAAATGGACTTGTCTAACGACAACTGATCTATTTCGAGCTGCTGTGAATAGAATAAGATGGGTCAAGAACAAATATTTTAAAATCAATCTCCTTTTTTGATTTTAATAAAAAGTCGTATTTTTTAAATATTTAAAATTTAATATTTATGCGAAATTCAATGTCCTTCGTCATGTTTAGTTGCATTTGTTTGATTTGCTGCAATGTTGGACGAATGATTCTAACGCCTTTTAATCTTTTTTTCAGCAGGTTCATCTTTAGGTGAAGTTTTGCACTAATCTTCAGTCATTCAGTCAGTTATCAGTTTTTTTTTACATTTTTGCACCAATCTTCAGCCATATCGTTCAAAAATAAATAACCAATTTTATTGAAATAAGAAATATTAAATTTCTAATTTACTTTGTTTTTTATCAACATTATAATAAAATATTATTTTTTGATTCCAGTGACCTGGTGTGTAACGGTATCGCACTGTGGATTGACTGGTACCTCACTGACTCGACGAAGAGTACCATCACGACAGGACCAATTTCTCCTGTGATCATCGGAGAAAAAATCGATTGGGATATGCATACTCGACAGGGCGTTACCTTATTCCCGGGAAAACTTGTAACTCAAATAGATTATTCCTTCAGTATAAACTTTAAAGAAGGAAATATTATCTTTAAGTGCAATTAAAACAAACGAAAACGTATTTCATATAATAATATGTTAAAATTAATGACCACCCATGTTTTGGAATTTTTAGTTGGAATCTGCTTCCAGTGCAATTCAAATAAAGAAAAAATATTTTTTATGAACAAATCTTATTTTTTCTTTTCCCCTTCTTATTCCTCTTCTATTTGAATGCATAGACGGAACTTCATAAAGAATGATTGTTATTAGAATAGAATACATTTTATTTAGTCAATACATAAAATAGTTTTGTTTTTGGCCAACGTCAAAGGAATAGTAAAATTTTTTACATACATACATATAAAATTCTTGTGAATTTAAACATTACAAACAGATATTTTTTTTTATTTACTAATAATAGTCGCTTCAACCACCTGGGTCATTAGCGACATTAGATACTACATTATATTAAATTATATAAAGATGTTTCTTTTAGAAATCTAATTAAGTTTTTAGTATTTAAATGTTCACCTAATACTGTTTTTAAGTCACTGGAATATTGTTATTTTGTCTGTTAACTGTATATTTTGTCTGTTAACTGTATATTTTCCACATTCTGTTAGGAGATGTTTAACAGTAATATTGACTTGACAGTAATCACACACTGGAATGTCTTCTTTACTTATTAGGTGCTTATGAGTAATATTGGTATGATCTAATCGAAGTCGAGAAATTTTGACTTGGTCAGCTCTTTTTAAGTTTACTAGGCGCCACGGTTTCACTGTCGATTTAATTTTCTTTTAATTTAGATTCCGATAAGTTCCACTTATTTTGCCACGCACTAATCACTTTTTCTTTAACGAACTGTTTTATATCACTGCAGATAGTCTTTGACACTATTATAGCTTGATCATTTTTGGTAGCTTCTCTTGCTTGGAGGTCTGCGTTTTCATTACCTTGTATTCCCGTGTGAGATGGAACCCACATAAATTTGACTTCTGAACCAGATTCTTGTAAGGCAGCAAGTTCGTTTTTGACAAGTAAGGCTATAGGGTTCTTAGTATATAGTTGACCGATTGTTGTTAAGGAGTTTAGAGAATCTGTGATAATGACGGAAGAAGAATGGTTTGTACTTTTGATATGAATGAGGGCTTGTAATATTGCATATAATTCTGCTGTGTATATAGAAGTGGCTGGCATTAATTTAAATTGGGAAGAGGAATATGGAGTGACAAATGCTGCTCCTACGTCATTTGCAGATTTGGAGGCATCTGTATAAATGCAAAAGCTTTTCCCGTAAGTCTCGAGTTCCTTTAAACATGACTGTCGGATTACAGTGGGTGATGTGTCTGATTTGTTATATTGGAGTAGCGTCGTATTGATTTTCGGGAATCATGATTAACCAGGGAGGTGGAGTTTTTACATTTGAAGGAAAGAGGCCAGAAATTTGGAGTTGTAGATCTTTTAAATTTCTTCGAACTCTTTCGTAGAATGGTGGATCGAACATACTTTTTGTTATAAGCTTCTAGGTAACGGTCCGTAAATGCATTTTGAAATACTGGGTGGAATTTGTTGCTGGCGACTGATGCTGCATACGAAAGGCATAAATAATTTCTTCGTAGATTAAGAGGTGGCTCTCCTGTGAGGCATTGGAGATTCTTAACTGGTGTGGTTCTAAATGCACCTATGGCAATGCGAAGTGCTGTGTTCTGAATGACTTCCAGTTGCTTGGTAACATGTTTTTTAGCGGAGGCATACACAATAGCCCCATAATCTATTTTTGATCTAACGAGTGACTTATAAATATTTAATAACGTTTCGTCGGATCCCCATTTTTTATTTGATAATGTTTTCATTACATTTAATACATTTTGGCAAGACTGTTTTATTTCTAAAATATGTTGTTTCCGTGTTAGTTTTTGGTCAAATACCATTCCGAGAAAATTAATTTTTTCTGCGAATTTAAGCGGCTCGCCATACAGTTTTAAAGATGTTCTCTGTGGCCGGTGCCTTCTTGAGAAAAGCATGCATTTTGTTTTTAGTGGGGAGAATTGCACGCCTACTGACATTGACCATATCTCTAATTTATAAATAGATTCTTAAGTGTTTTTGAATCATTCTCATATTCTTGCCCTTTGCAAATAGAACCAGATCGTCGGCATATAGTCTTCCCTTAACTAGCGGGGAGCAGTGATCCGGTATATCGTTAATAGCCACGAGAAAAAAGTTGGGCTCATAACTGACCCTGAGGTGTTCCGTTTTTTCTGAATTTTTTTTGATGAAGTGGAATTATCGGCGCGAACAGAGAAAGCTCTTGACTGAAGAAAGTTTTCTATGAATCTTAGCATATTACCCCTGATTCCCCATTTGTGTAATTTTGATATAATATTAAATCTCCAAACCGTGTCGTATGCCTTGGTGATATTGAAGAATACTGCGATGGTCTCTTGATTATTTGCAAAACCTTCGTGTATCTCTGACTCTAAATCTACTGAGTTGTCTACGCATGATCTATTTTGACGGAAGCCGCTTTGCTGAGGAATTAAAAGTTTTTTCTTGTTCTAAGTACCACAACAGTCTTTTGTTTATAATTTTTTCTAGAACTTTGCATGCTACATTAGTGAGTGATATAGGATGGTACGAGTCTATATTTGTTCTGTCTTTGTTGGGTTTGATCAGAGGAATTATAATGCTGTCTTACCATACAGATGGAAAAACCTGATTTGTCCAAATAAAATTGTACAATTTTAATAGCCAAGACCTTCCATTTTCTGGTAGGTTTAACAAAAAATTAATGGTATACCGTCTGGACCTGGAGCGGAATTTTTACTTGACATTAGGGCATCCTTGAGTTCTTGCATTGTAATCAGTACATTAAGTATATTATACTCGTGAGAGTGGTACTCCAACTTTGTTTTCTCTGCGCTTTCTTTCTTAAGCTTAAAGTCCGGTGGATAGTTATCGTTACTTGAATTGGTCTCAAATTTACTGGCGAATAGTTCAGCAATTTCATTTCGGTCGGTTATAATTTTGTTATCTTTTGCTAGGAAAGGTATTTTGTTTGAACACTTTTTTCCCAGATATTTTTCTCATATTTTGCCACACTTTACTTGCTGAGGTAGAACTATTTATACTTGAAATAAATTTTTGCCATGACGTTTTCCTGCATTTTTAAAGAATATATCTAGCTTCTGCTCGACGTCTTTTGTATTCTGCCACAGTTTTATTGATTTTGTGATGCTTAAACCTATTGAAAGCTCTTTTAAATGTTTTTACGACTTCTTTGCATTCTGAGGACCACCATGGTAAAGGTTTATGATATTTCAGTGTTTTTGTTTTTCCAATATGATTTTCTGCAAAAACAGATATTTAATATTAACAATTTAAAAAAAAACGACAAACACACTAAATAAAAATATAAAATCATGAAATATCGTCATACCCTGACCAAACTAGTACTGCTATATATCTGCTGCTAGACCGTATATTGTTCAAACATTGACATATGAGGAGATTTATAACCTACACTTTCTGTCAAAGGAAACGCTACACAATACTACCAAAAATAATACAGTTGATTCCGTTAACTGGCTTAAAATTAAATGGTTCCGGATTGTAAAGCAGACACCCTACTCGATTCTTTACAAATATACACTTTCAAACGAACAATTTCTGGAAATCAATATCAATCAGAAGAGGAATGCACAGGTAAAAATAATAATTGTATGAGTTTAATTCGTCTGTTTATAAAAAATCTTCATAGATTTCTATCTTTTTTATTCATAGGTAAAACAATGGGAGTCAGTATCATTACAACACGCTCATCCAAACAAGCAAAAAGGACTTACTTTCATTGTCAGCAGTGGAATAATACCCAATGATTATACATCGTTTTATGAATCTTTACCCTGTTTTACGATAGCATTACGAGATGATAATAAAGATTCTGAATAAATTCAAAATCCAATAAAGTGGTAATAAAGAGTATTGTGAATATAGTTCAAAAATGAATAAAATTTTACAAAAACACTATTTACCGGTATTTTTTCCTTATCAACACTGTCAATTTTAATGCCAAAATGTGGTAAGTACCACTTAGTGAACGACTGACATGGTAAGTACATCTTCTTCTTCTTCTTCGTCTAGCCATTCACGTCCACATCTGAACATAAGCCTCTTCAAGTCTTCCTTTCCATTGTTTTTTATAGTACGCTACTTGTACCCAATTTTTCCCGGCAGTCCTTTTTAGATCATCTGTCCATCTCGTAGGAGGTCTGCCTCTGGGTCTTTTGTGTTGGTATGGTCTCCAGGTTAAAATTGATCTGTGTCATTTGTTTAGATCGCTCCTAGCTACATGTCCAGCGTATTCCCATTTCAACTTTAATGATTTTTGCACCACATCGCTGACTTTGGTTTTCTGTCTTATCTATGTGTTTGTTTTCTTGTCCTTAAGTGATATACCTAGCAGTGCTCTTTCCATCGCGTGTTGAGTGACTCTAAGTATATTCATATTCTTTTTTGTGATTGTCCATGTTTGTGCCGCATAAGTTAATATCGGAATAATGCATGCATCAAAAACTTTAGATCTAAGATGTAATTGAATTTGTTGATTTCTGAGTATATAGTTCAGTTTACCGAATGCTGCCCAAACTAACTTTCTTCTTCGTTTTATTTCTTCAGTCTGAATTTTCCTATTTAGGATTTTTTTTTAAATAAAATATATATATATATATATATATATATATATATATATATATATATATATATATAAACAGCTGCCGCCGTTTCTCCCAATCTAGCTTCCAACGCTTGCGATCGTTCCAGTCATCTACTTGTAGACCCCTATCTTCCATTGCACCATTTACTTCTTGTCTCCACGATCTTCTTGGTCTTCCTTTTTTCCTGCGGTTGGTAGGGATCCACTGTAACATTCTCTTGGCCATCGTTGATCATTCATCCTTTCTACATGGCCATACCATTTCTGCCTTTTTGCATTCTATAGTTTCCAGGATGTCAATGTCTATGCCCATACGCTATCTGATTTCAGTATTCCTTACTCTATCTCTTCTAGTGAGTTGGCAACATCTTCTCCAATAATTCATTTCCATTGCT